CATGTGGAAGACCTTGACTGACCTGCACAGAGCCCTAACTTTAACCCCAAAAAACACCTTTGGGATGAACTAGAATGGAGATTGAGAGCCAGGCCTTCACGTTCAACATCAACTGATCTCACAAAAGCTCTTCTGGGTGAATGGGGAAAAATTCCTACAGACACACTCCGGAATCTTGTGGAATGCCTTCCCAGAAGAGTGACAGCTGTTATAGCTGCACTGGGGGTGGGGGGAGGGGGGCATATTAATGCCTGTGGATTTAGAATGGGATGCCATAAACGTTCCTGTAGATGTCATGACGAGGTGTCCCAATACCTTTGTCCACACAGTGTATACATAAAAGAAGTTACAGGATCTGAGACTACAGCATGCTGGATTTTTGGAGTCAATTCCTTAAATGTAACAGACATTCAAGAAACCAAACACAGAATCCATAAACAAGAGGATGCCACAGTATTCAGAATAGGATACTTATCAGGGCTTGTACTCAACTCCATAAGTTATCTGGTCAGTCAGTATACATCAACCATAATTTTAAAACTGCCTTCATCCAAAGAGTTTTGGCAGCCCATTAATCTAAATGTCTTTTTCCGTTGTGCCCTGGTTCCTGTTCGGCCTGAGGCTATTATTATCATGCCAGTGACTGTGGACAAACTGGGATGGGGGGGGTGGGGGGAGCCTGCACTGATTACAGGGGCCTACCACCTACCACCCATCTCTCTATGGTATGCAACAGTGTCTGAAAATGGACAATAAAATAATATTCATTATTACCTTAGTTTGATTTATAGATATTGGCCATTAAGCTAGGTATCTTATTTACTAGTACTGAAGAAAATTTTCATCAGGTGTTATTTTTGAACATTAATATGAAACTAGCACCTTCTAATAATTATAGAATTCGGACTTAAGTGAATATAATTGTTCTTTATAATTAAGTCATTTGTTACACATTGTTTCATTATACATTGCTTTATTATCATGCTACAAAAACATGACAGCCGGAATACAACGTTATAATATCGCAGAAAATAATTTTGCTAATCACTATCTTGCGTCTTGCTTATCCAAGGCTTAAGGCTTAATGCGTCATATGACAAACACATGAATGGTGACAGTAATTTAACCATTACAAAATGAATGTCAGAGTAGTGAAAGAATATTTAGAATAAATGGGTAAAACAGGAATGAAGAAAAATATTTCCTTGACACCTGTTTGTAACTTCCTACATTACCCATGATCCCTTGTAAACGGCTAAGCGTGGCGTGCGTGCTGCAAGGCTCACTGGGAATTGTATGAAAGCGTACACTGCTGAGCGTAGCCGCCAGTAGGACCGGGAAGGAGAGTGATGATGATGCCTTTCGCAGTGCCAAATGTAAGCATGAGTACGTATCCATACCCGCATACACCCTTTTTGAATCCGACTGCGAACGTGATCGTGTCTTCTTCTCTTCACCACCCTGCTAGTTCTGAAATAAATTCTGGTATATGGCCTGCCTCTATTTAAAACTGAACCATATTTGTAAATGTATGGGAAGGGTTTGAAAAAGTGACCCGACGAGAAAAAAGCTCAACGTGGAAAATGACTTTTGAACATTAAGAAGATAAGACTCCTAGAACAAAACTTTCAACAATACATTTATGCCATTCTTAAACGGCGGAAGGAAAGTCCAGCGTTGAGATCGAAGTTCAATCGTTAAATATTTTAAAGCAGGCGCTGTTGCTGTTGCGAGCTGCAACCTAGTGATAGGTTGCCATGGGGACCATAGCACAAAGCAAGTGGCAATTTGTTCTATTTCTGTAATTATGTATTTTTTACATTTACAAAGAAATGTATGTCAGTACTGGGAAGATTAGAGTCTGAGAGAAACTTAGCTTTGTAGATTCAGCCAATAAACAATCGTCATGACATTTCTATCTTCATTGCTGAATAAGGTAAGTTGACATTGAACAAGGTTCAAAATCAGAATCAGAAAAGCAGTTTTTCTGTCCAGTTATATTTATTTTAAACCTCATTCAATGCCAACTTTTACCTTATTCCGCAATGAAGATGAAATACCATGATAAGTGTGTTAGTCAAATAATTGCGTGTAGCCCTATCTGTCATAGATTTTACCCTGGCAATCCCTAAAGTATATACCTTCATGTATGTGTTGTCAGGTGTGAAACACTGGGCTCACTTTTTGGAGCTAGAGCAGGTAGTTATACAGTCCTCACATCATAGACTGTTATACTGTCCTGCAGGCTGGTCAGAGATGGTAGGGAATGGCTCCAGGGCAATGTAGCAGCCATGGCCCGCACTGGAAAGTGCTGCATCTGCTGGTATAATTAAAGCATGCCGGGGGCGGGGGTGTTTTTTGACGGAGGCTGATCTCACAGGACTCCAAGGAAAGAAGAAAGGGCTACAAGGAAGGAAGGCTGAGCATCTGGGAGACTGGGAATGAAGGAGAGGTTACAGGGATAGAAGAGAGGGTTACAGGGAAGGAATGCAGGGCTACAGGGAGAAAACAGAATGAATGTGGGTCTACCAGGAACGAAGGAGAGATGGCTACAGGGGAGGAAGGAGCAGCTACAGGGACAGAAGGGAATTGAACCAGCAACCTTCTGAGCCCCAACCCAGTGAGCTGCACCCCCCCCCCCCCCCCCCCCACCAAAAAAAAAAGACACAGGGGGGGAAGGGGTAGAAATGCGGTTGCTTATCTATGCCTTACAGTCGTAAATCAGAGATTCGAGCCACCTTAGAACAGATACAAAGAGGGTGGGTGGCGAGGGAACAGCCGCCATGGGAGATTAGCATCCCCCAACCCCCCCACCAAAAAAAAAAGTGTTTAATACTTTTTTGGTGCATGGATAATCCATATATTATTTTGTAGTTTTGATTTCTTCAAAAATGTAGAGAATAGTACAATTTTTAGTGTTTGCTTAATTTGTAGTGCAAATTTTTGACTGGTATTGTATTTATTTCTGGTGATACTTCACCAGACTCGTAATAGTACAGCAAATCCAAACTCCTGAAAGCGTTAGTTAAGAAATTGAAAATGTAGAACTTTAATACAGGTAATTTCTTTTAAATCCCATAAATGTCATAGTATAAATTTGCCACTAGATGGCAATAGAGACCAGTACTGCTTCGTACATTGCCTTATCAACTTACATTTTGCTTTGTTTTCTGATAGTTTGCATCAGCGAGGATATCGACAAGGTCCATAAAATTGACGTATTTTCCTAACGCCGATAATTGATATTCATGCGATTAAACATTTTGTTTGTGGTGTCTTTGACACTTAATTTAACTATGATAAGTTTTAAAGACGTCCAATGTAATCAAAACTAAATAATAAATATTGTTACTTTTTGTCTCAAGTAACTTTTTACAGTTTAGATATTGTATATTTGGCATGTTAAGAGAACCTTCAGCTTTAACGCTTTTATAAATTAACACTAAGCAAATTCCTTTTACATAATACTTAGAGAATACTTACATTGGGGGATAGTATTATGCAAGCCGTGCAGGAAAAACGCACAATTGGTTTAAAACAAATGATTAAAGAAATTGATGAAGGTATACTATATGTCATGCATAATTAAAAAAAACTGAAATGAGCATGATGGAATGATTATTAATAATTTTTTACATCGTAAAAGGAAACAGACTACAGGAAACAAAATATCCCTTGACCTGACATCATTCTTAAAGTCTAAATGAAGGATATTTCCAGATCCTGTCACTTCCGGTTAGCATCCTGCCACCAGGAGTGTTTCCTTTTTTGCTTGTTTTTCTCATCGCTTCTTACAAACCTTCCATTCATTTGACTTACTGAACAAAAGCTTACGCCTCATGTTTTTACTAAATATTTCCAAGCCGTTAAACCAAAATAACTCAAACACTGTTGTGTTATAAATATTTGATTAAGGTCACTTAACTTTAGGAGTGATAAATTCAAATGTACTTCCGGAAGCACTTAGAATTTTCTTTAAAAAAGAAATGTAATGCTTCGGCTGCATTCTACAAATCTGACAATCAGCATTGCGCATCAGTTTGAGCATAGCAGGAGAAATTGCATAGATTAGAGGTTACAAGCCAGAAATTGTTTGCCGTAAGCATCTGACTTACAGTTTACTGTCCCATTGATTCGTACCATCTGCGAAGGATCTATAGCGTATTGTCTGCAGATCAATTCTTGGTTGGTAGTATAACTAAACCTGTCACAGTCGGAGTTTACACGCAATTGAACAACATACGTGACGCGTAAGAATAGTCGTTTTCTTAAACTTATATGCATTTAAATCAATTAATACTTATTAATTGGAGATTTTAAAGATCTATATAGTCTGGATATTTAGCTTTCTAGTCTTGTAACTATATATTGACCAGTAAGGTTTGGGTTGGGGATCAGACACGTACATAATAATAATTAGCATTTTCATTTCTTTATATTGGACTATAGTTGACCATATGAGAAGTAATTTGTAATGTAAATGTTATGGAAATACTGTTTTCGGGATTCATCTGCCAAGTGCTGTTTTACATAAGCTACCTGAATTTAATATTGGTAATAATATGGAAGGCAAAACCACATGTTTTGAATCTGGGTGTTTCGACTTTCAAGGGAAATCGAATACTGAGGACAATAACCTTTAATAACATCATCGCTGAACAGTTCAGGAATTCAGCCAAAACAAAAAAGCAAATGGTAAAACTTAATCGAATAACCATAACGTATTTGAGTAATGTACCTTAAAAACGGTACGTTGTTACTATTATGCTCCTGAAGTGGTTTGAATATGTAATAGGTGTAGTGTAGTGATTGCGTTCTTGTACAGTTTTTTTTTTTTTTTTTACTTTAGAACAACAGAAGAGAAATGCGCAGGTAGAGTTGATCCATTGCCATCTTGTCAGAGGGCTTCACTTCCACACGGGCTTCGACGTAATCGCTTCCGCCCCGCCCCCATAGCAAGCTCCGCCCACTGACCCGCCCCCTCTCGCTCCTACTCCTCTCTGCCTCTCCCGTGTCGGCGGTGCTGGCTGCTGCCCTGCACAATCCAACATGGAGTAACAGGAGATGGGGCTCTTTCGGGGCCACCCTCGGCGAAATCAGCGCACACTCACAAACACGGCGATCCTGCGAGGAATGTAGAGCAAAGTAAAGGAGCGGACGTTCACCGGAGGGGGGGATTGCTTTCTCGATGGATGAGCAGTGGCAAAAAAGGGGAAAACGAGACCAGCGACGAGACTGAGGAAGGTGGAGAACAAAACGGTGCGAAAAAAGCTACAGGAAGCCAGTGTTACACTATGTGGAGGAGAGGGAGAGTAGAGAAAGGTGGTGACGAAAATGCCGAGCGCAAAGTGTGTGCCCGCTGTGGGGGACTGCTGTAGGTGAAACTGGGGGGAAAATGACCGAAGAAACACATCCCGACGAGTAAGTACACTTAAAAAACTGTTTGTTTTGTGTTTCGCGATGTAGAAGTTGTGGTGCGGCTGCTGATGTTATTTGTGAGCTCAGTATAAAGTTTGGCACGGGTGGAGTTGATAAACTGTTGTGGAGTTGGAGACGCTTTGTTGCATTGTGTGCAATGACAGTGGATGGCAAACGGGGTGATCGGAGCCCCTTCCCCGCTCCGCCGATCCAGTCTTGAGGAGGAAGGGACGGAGAGTGGGGGTGGATCGGAAACATTTTGTAAATGGATGCAGTCAGTAGATAAAACTGTATTACTTGAATGCGTGCTCCGCTGCGATTTTAAATAATAAACTGTGTACTTTTCCTACATTAATATGAGCACGGTGGGTGTATGTCGGTGCCTTAGGTGTAATTTTGCCCACAAAATGGTGAGGAAAGTCTTTGTTTTGTGGACATGAATCAAGTTATATGCAATATCCGCCATTTCTTCTCTTCAATCGGCCCGATTTGCATAATGCACTTCATTCATAAAAACAGCGCCGGGGGAAGCTGCGCTGCCGGCTGCGCACGTAGCAGAACCCGTCTGGTAAAAAGCGCAGGTGGCGGCTGTCACTCTTTGTTCGGGGCCGCTTTTAATGCCCCCCATCGCCCCATCATTTGTCATCTCTTTTGGCTTAAAAAAAAGAAAAAGTCCAGCGTATGTCGCGCTTCTCTGCGGCTCCAGGCACCCAGACAACATGGTGTGATCGCGCACCTTATAATAATACGTGACGGTCAGATTCAGAATTAACACTCTGGCATCGAAAATATGACACATACGGTTTGGTTTAGCTTACAGCAAATCCTGAGTTTTGTTTTGTTGTGAATGGTTAATGCGCAAACGACTGCCAGTTAATAAATACCCATAACCTTCATGCTGCAGATCTGTCGGGGGGGATATTGCCGTAACCCCGCATGACGATCGGTGTTACAAGCGGATTCGGGGTTACAAAGGTGTGTTTGTACAGATTAATGCCGATGGCACTAAGAATCGCACATCCATGGTAATCTTTTTGGCGTGAAACAAGACGGCTACCTTTGATGGGATTAATATTTGATTTATCGGCTTTTGAAATGATGGTTTTGAAATAATGCGCGCCTTGGTTTTAATCGGACTTTTTAATATAGGTATTTGTGTGGTGTAAGGGTGTTTATCAAAGCAGGAGGATAAGGCAAGACGTGTCCTAATATTAGTTCTTTGGTATATGGCGTATATCGCGCCCTGCTGGGAACACAAATGAGTCAAACGGAGTATGAACTGCGGTAATATAATGTTTAAAGTTGCGAAATATTTACTTTAAGTGAAAGCGGGAGGGATGCTGGCACGCTTGCTGACATTTCAGGGATGAAACGGTTTGAGAAAAGCCTTGATTATGTGTCACACCTACAGTCAAGCCAAGTTTCAGAAATGGTCATTGAGGGTATCCTGGCACTTTAGCCAACCTTAGGACAAGGTCTACGTTAATGTCACATTATTTCCACGTTTTACATTTTAATAAAGGTTCTGTCAGTGTCAGCACGAAAAAATATCATGAACACCCTTTTAACGCAATTAATGTTGCAAAATATTGTTTTGTAACAGTATTTTATGAATGTGCATGCTGTGAACGCGCCGTCCAGCCTTGAACTCATGACCTTCGACGTGTTAACCGACAGTGTTACGCGCTGCCCTGCCGTGCCCTCTGTTTGTTTCTGCATTATTACTCTAAGTTGTAGTAGTATTTGTACTAGTGGAATAAGTTTTTCAGTAGGAGTGAAACACAGTATGGGTGTGTTCCATTAAAAGTTATATATATTTTAAGTGTTTATTTGTATGAAGTCTCTAGTGTTGGGTTGTCATCTTTCAGGAGGACCTTAAGCACCGAAATGCCGGTAAACATGGTCACATGCTCTACCGCTCTACCTGTAGTCTCGTTAAAAATTCTCTGCCTGTGACCCACAAGCCTTACAGGAAGCACACCTAATTGTTACAGCACCCCTGCGGTACCTTGCTGGCAATTTCAGAAGTCTGTGAGTCCTTCACCCATGTGTTGGGCTTCACCATGTAGCCCAGAGGTTCGATCTGAACGACGGCGGTCCGCAAGAGCTCTGGCCGGGTCGGTCGATTAAACTTGAAAGCTCGGGGTGACTGTCCCCATGTCTCCGGCATGTCTGTCAGAGGATCGATGTTGCCCCAGCTCGCTGTGGTAATCTGTTGACCAGTTACTATAACCTAGGGAGGATTGCCACAGAGCTACCACCTAGCTGGTGATGTAAAGGGGGCCCATCTCACAATCGCGGTTGGGTCACTTACCTCTAGCTGCTTGCTACTGAAGCGTCCTGCTATACATATGGCCGGGGGGGAGGGCTCTAGAGGCATGTATCCTGAAAGCTTTTGGGGAGGGGGATATTTTGTTTGTTTTATTTTCTGGAGTAATGGTGAAGCCCCCCTATAGGTGATGAACCGTCTCACCTCCTGATATTTTGGCCTGGGAGGGGAGGCTGGGGGTGGGAGAGCAAATGGCCGAGAGAAACACAGCCGTAAGCACCATCATGTTGTGGCCTTTGGGGGGGGGGTTTAAGGAGTCCGCAGATGTCCGCGTCTGAGAAGTTCTGCCAGAACGGCACTGTGACGGAAGTGATCATCAGGCTTGGCGCACAGCTGGGGGGCCTCCCTACCCCCCAACACCCCCAATCATGCATCTATTGCTCCATCTGCGCAGAGATGTGCGGACCTGCTACGCCAAGTGCCCCCGAGGAATCCGGCTGATTCCCACAATGTCATTGGATGCAGCTGTGGAAAAAAAATCCAGATAACATAAACCCATAAGTATGTACAGATACACCTTTACGTTTCAGTTGAGGATTTTGGAACACTGCACTTCAATTTTGTCTAAATTTTTAATGTTGACTGTTTTAATCTTTTTAAGAGGATGTCCTGTCTTGTTTAAGGCTTTTCCCCTTGACTTTCTGTTTCCAATAAGAGCTTACGCTAATCGGCTTAAACTCAACGTGGGCCATATGTCCTTCTCTCCTGAAACAAAGGTTCTAATCGTGACCCTGGGCACTTTTCCAGAGTGGAGTCTCTCAGCTACACGTGTAGCATAGCGAGCCTGGCGTCTGGCCTCGGATCTGGGTTGTGTAGAGTTTAGCTGAACCACAGCGCGACTCAGCTAATGGAAGATGGATTTCCTTTGCGTTGGCTCGATAGTGCCATCGACTCCTCCGTCCCTCGCCCCGGTATCAGCGCACGGGTCCGGATTGCCACGCGGTTCAGATTTCTGTCAATGGCAGCCTGAGAGCCTGCACTGCACAAGATTGGGAAGCGTGCTCCGTGCATCCGTTCGCAAACAGATTGGAGGAAATTCACATGGATGTTTGCGCAAGGCGTGCATGTGCAGATAACGACGGAAAGGAAGAGCTCACGGTGGCTTTGATCTGGTATTGAGGACAGCGTGAAAAGCACAGTGGGAACTCAGATGATAACCTAGTTAACATCCGTGCAAGTAAAATAATATGGATACATTTTATATAATATCAGAGGTGACCCAAGACTGCATGGGCTACATACTAGGAATTGGATGTCTAGTTGTTTATGTCTCTTAACCCTGTGTGTGAGGTTCACAATGCTGGAATAGCAACACGGTCCTCACTAGGAATTCATAATCACAACTATTACTCTTCTCCTAAGAAGTATGTTAGGATAGGAGGATGTATCTATGTAGAGCTGTCATTGAACGTTCTCGAGTGGCAAAAAAAAATCCAAGAGCCTTCTGGCGGAGAACACAAAATGGTGCTGTCACTGTGAACCACAAAGCTCCTGTGCGTTCCTTGACGTGTGAGCTCTTTGCAGACCATTACTCTGTGGGAGTGTGTGTGTGGGGTGGGGGGGGGGGTGTTTTACAACATTGTGAGGACTAAATGTCCACACGATGCGGTAAAACCACTTTTTTACCTTGTGGGGACATTTTTCAGCCCCACAATACAAACCCCATTTTGATAATCTGTGAATGCAATCAATCAAAAACTAAAAATGTCAAAAGTCTTGTATTTTGATTGGTTACTTATGGTTAAGGTTAGGGCTGGGTAGGGGTTAAGGCAGTCATGGTTAGGATTAAGGGTTATGAATGGAGTGTGTGTGCGTGTGCGAGAGAGAGAGAGAGAGAGAGAGAGAGAGAGAGAGAGAGAGAGAGAGAGAACCAATTTTAAAACAATCCAGCAAACAATCCTGCAGATCATCTTCCTTCCTCTAAGAAATGCATCCTGGGAAATTGAGTGTGTTGGCATTCAGACACATTTTTCTTATGTTTTAGAAGCCTTGAGGTTTCGTACTTTAAAACTGTGTCCAGTCTTTACTCTTTACTTATAAAGATTAAGTAAGACAATGTGTTTATATTTTGGGCTCAATGAATGCTTTGCTTTGACTTTATTTTATGTCAAAGTTTAAAACTCATAAATGCAAGCTTTATTTGCCCAAGACACCTTCGGCTAATATACTGGGCTGAACAAGAAAAATCTTGTTCCCTCTCATTACACGATTGCAGGTATAGATTTCCCCCTCCTGGCGGGGATTACAGTGCACTGTGGGACTTTGGTCAGTGGTCAGAGTGCTGAAGAGGAGCCTTTTATTGAGGTGTATCACTGTTTCAGTTGCAGGTTGTGTTTCTTATCACCGGCTGGAAGGTAACGTGCGGTTCTATTTAGTGGTTAAACCCCTGGTTTCTGGCATCTGAATCATCCATTGTAGCACAGCTGATACGCCCCATGCGTGTTACATTATAGGCACATTTTTGGCTTATTAGGGGATGGGAGAATTTCCCAAGATGAATATCTCCGAATTGGTCTGGAAATGCTGGCATCTTTTGTAAAAATAACAGCGAGATATAGCGTGTGTCGCTTTTCACAATTCAAAGATGGGTACAGGGTTAGGGTTTAGCGTGTCTCAAAATCAGAGCTTGCTTTAGCCTCTCTTCTCATACAACGCCCTGTTTCTGTGGCTAAAT